TAGTAAAAGCCCAGAATTATCAGTATTTCGGCTTTCTAAACCCCGTGTGAAGTCAAACTCTCTTGGTACGACTAAATTCTTCATAGTTAGCAGAAGCATTGTTGACGACCCCGATATTATGTGCGAACAATTCAGCAAGCACTTCTCGCAATGCTACAAAACTGGAACTGAAAGCTCTATCATTATATTTCCAATGCTGACATCCACGCATTTCATATCCTCCAACATCAAGCAAGCCATAGCTGCCCTGAAAAAGTCTTATGATGGTGGACCTGGCGGGATCCCTTCATCATTTGCGAAATATGGAAGTAGAGAATTCCCACTATTTTGTTTGAAACTTTCCAACCTATCTATGGAATATGGGACCTATCCACCTGCATGGGAAACACCTCTTATCACCCCTAGATTCAAAACAGGATCACGTAGTGATATTGTTAACTATAGGCCAATTAATTTAACATCCGTGCTCTCAAGATCCATGGAAAAATCATCCACAAACAGCTAATATCATTTTTACTTTCGACTAGTTTGATTAGCCCATCCCAACACGGGTTTATGACTAAACGCTCATGTTTCACATCGCACCTGGAATTTTTGATCAAATAACCCAGAGAAGAGATGTTGGTCAGTCAGTGATAATTCTTTACTTCGATGTTAGTAAGGCTTTCGACAGTGTCTCACACAAACTTCTAAAACTCTCATCATTTGGCATTCAGAATCCAGTTTCGTCTTGGTTCAAATCTTTTTTAGAAGAATGTAGCCAAGTCGTTCGCTTTGGATCTTGCTACTCTCAACATGTGAATGTAAGCAGTGGGGTTCTACAAGGAAGTGTGACTGGTCCATTACTCTTTCTCCTTTTTATCAATGACGTGTGTTCCCTCTTTCAGTATGGTTAACCTTTCCTTTTTGCCTATGACCTAGAAGTAGTTTATTCATTCTCTTCTCCCACCAAAGAGAACTATATTTCGGAGGTAGTCCAAGAAGAAATAAACATGTTATACGAATGGACTGTTTCGTGGAATTCGCCACTTAAGGTTGTTAAAAGTGGATTCATTCACATTGATCGCTGCCTTAACTAAAATCTAACCATACACAAACATACACTTGTAGTGAACTACTTTTGTCAAGAGAACGCGATTGGTTTAATGGAAGCAATCACTATTATAGCCAGTTGTATCAGTGATTGTTTTATTGTACTTGTTCGTTTAACTGTACTAAAGACACCCATTATTCCCCCATACTTTCTTCCATTGATTGTGACCCTGCACGAATTCGGTTACGCTCAGTAACCGCACTTGTAACCTAGCACGATGTCGGTATCTTTTTGATACCACGAGATGGCCAACAAATACATCTCGACTACAGCCATCAACTGCCTTCTGATATTTGATCTACGAGGGATCTTATCTGTTAACTGGCACGTAGTCTTCCTGTAGTGATGATCATAGCCAACCGCAACTCGACGCCGCGCTACATACTCAAGCCTCCCAACACTGTGACTTGGGTTTAAGATATAGCAACAGTTTGAACTTTTCTGAGCACATTGCATCATAAGTATCCAAAGCTAGAAAGCTCATTGAATTCATAATGATAAACTTCAGTAATATCGAATCGAGATTATTATTATTCAGAAAATGTATCTTACCTATTCTTGAATATGGTATTTTAGTTTGCAGTAATTGCAGGCACAATGGCCTGACTAAAACTGAAGGTGTTCAAAGAAGGTTCACCGAAGCTGTTCTGGGGTATTCCGACAACAAAGACTGTCACCAAAGATGTCAACAACTCAACTTAGAACCTCTTTGGATCAGACGTATCAACTTAAATCTTGTTTTTATCTACCGACTTATTAACAGCATTTCCTACTTTTTGGTATCTACCCCTTCATACCTTATAATATCATCCCACAATCTACGCAATAAGGAGAACATTCTAGCGATTCCAAGAACCCACACAAACTTACGTCAGAATTTTTTCCTTATTCGCTACTCAACGATGTGGAACAGACTGCCAGTGAACCTCCGTTGCAGTAAAACTACAACCCGGTTCAAAAGTCTCCTTGACGATTTTCTTTCCGAGAGTGGATTATGTCACCTATTGAATATCAATGTATTCAATAATGATTTATACAAACAAGGTCCATCATCCATTTAATTGCATGAAAAGCAAAATAAAACCTTTAAATCTTTCCACGTTTATTTTATTTTATTTCTATTTATCTTAATATATGAAATCTGCTTATGTTCGTGTTTATCATTATTACCGTTATTAATATCATTATTAGTTCCCCGACACATTAGATATTCTTTTTGTATCTTCTTATCCTTCTAAACATATTTAACTACAGATTGTCCTTTGAAACCAATTGTGACTTTCATAGCATCATTCTTAATTATTATTGCAAAAATATTTATACTAATATCCGGTTTCACTCTGTATACTATTACATAAATCTAAATGTATTCATCCGAGTGCACTAAAGGATTTTTATTTTATTTTTATCAATTGCTGGTTTACGTCTGAGGTTGATATTCATTACACAATTATTATTTTTATCAAGGATGAACCTTTTCACTAGGTGTTCACTTATTTTCTCTCTCTTCTTTCCTTCTAAATAAATATTATTCTTTAGATTACGAAGTTTGTAATTAAGACGATATTTTGTGTTACATTTAAATTAACTTCTCAGACTTGTTTTATCTTCACTATGCATATATCACACATACATATTGATATTTCGTCATTCTTCTCACTTAAATGAGACTTTCATAGCGTCACTTCAAACGATAACTGCACAAAAATTTATTCCAGCGTCATATCTTACTGCAATAACAAGCCATTTTTTCTCATTTTATTTTCTATCTCATTTTTGTTACTAATTTGACGACACATACATAGTCCTTTATTCTTGTTCTGTGTTCATAAACATGTCTATTAAACTATTTCACATCTCCTTTATTTCTATTCCCTTATTTTCTTCCTTTCTTTCTTTAAACTCAATTCAATATTCCCGACTACACAGAACATGATACTTGGTATTATTTGGCTTGTATCTTCCCATTGAGGTTTAAGACTGCAACTGATCAGTCTGTTATTGTAATATGGGCATACTGTGCGTATGCCTCGATATTTACTTACTTCACAACCTTTTTGTGGGCAACGATGGATAGTGGCTAGCAGTGGAGTCCAGGACGTGCGTTTCGTCCTATCTGGGACTCGTCAGCTGGATGTATCTGACGAGTCCCAAATAGGACAAAACGCACGTCCTGGATTCCACTGCCAGCCACTATCCATCGTTGCTTACAAAAATACACAGAACACGATTTATTATTATTATTCTATTATTTTTACTCTGCTTTTTTTTCAAATATGGCATATATAATGCTAACATTATTGAAACTTTTGTTTTATTGCATTTTTGAAGAAACCCGTAATGGTTTTTTAACAACACTCATGTAACCAAAAGATGTTTGTGAATAATAATAGTAACATTAATGACTGATATGCAGACACGTGCTCAATCAGCTTCACACATAATTTTTCATAGTAGATTAAGTGTGGATTAAATTAGCAGTCAAATAATACAGTAGTTGAATGGGCTTACTACACACCATCGCAATTGGTGTGTTAACTGAGACTTTGGATAATCTACACGCTAATTTTGGTTAGCACTTTTTCGTGTTCATATTTGTCTGGTCCACCACAAATCTGTGCGTGGTCTATCCAGACAGGATAGAATAGCATTTATTTGTTGTGATTGGTAATTTTCTCGCATCCTTCATCACCTTCCTTATTTATTGAAATTTATATTTGATCAATTCAACAATTATTCGTTGGATAGCTGGGTGGTCATACTTATTTAAGTAACAATGTACATTTAAATTCATGGTGAATCATAGAACCGTCATTTTACCTAATCATTTTGTTTTGGTTTCAACCGGGGCAAGGGCACCTATCTAACCCACCTAGGCAGGCATTCTTCGGTCCAAAACTTATTTTGGATCTCACAGTGCGTAATACTGATAATCGCTATTATTTTAGTACTTTATATATATACTATCTGACTGTCGCGCTTTAATATATATATGGCAATACGGGCAAGAAAAAAATAATGTAAAAGAAATTAATATTGTTCTATCGCAAAAGCAATGAAATCGCAAGACATTCAAAATTTAGTAACTGACTTCCAACTAGAGAAACGAAAAAGCAGCATGAGCCAATGGCGGGATTTTATTCCATGACGGGTGCTATTTCGTTCTGTCCTGTGTTAGTTATTTTGCTATTCACTTTCTACCTTTGATATTTCGATGTCTAAAAATGACAGAAGTAAAGTTAATTGACCAACAAATTAGAAATCTGTATGAAATTCGTCTACACATTATACATCTGAATCCTTACACCACAAAACGTTTAATTTCGATAACCCGATTGCTCTAATTTCACGCTTGTGTTCCTTGAAATTTTTGTCTGTTGCCTCCATCACCAAATGAAAGTGAATCCTACGAGGTGTCTGAGTCGTCAACCTACGTTTTCCTTCGTTCATTTCTTCTCAATGTTCTTTCAGAAACTAACATTCATGATCCCCCAGAACACAAAAATAGACACGAGTTCATCAAACGCTGAACGCCCCAACATTAACTGATGTTATTTCAAGGTTTGAACTCTGCATCACATTATGATTTACCAATTTCTTTTCCTTTTTTATTGTTAACATACCTAGGTTCCTGCCTGGAGGATTTGGTGATCCCCTGCTACTAAACACGAAAACCTGTTAAGCGAAAGCTTCTTCTATTCCGTCCACAACCATTTGAACCATTTGAACCATTTATTAAAACAAACTAATGACCACAAAAAAGATCTCTATAAGTTATCTCATAAACATAAAACAATAGAATATTTATTTCGAAAGCTTTTAAAAACAAGGACAGAGGTTTTAAAGTCATTGTTTAGTGCTGTTATATGATTGTTTTATACATCTAACGTAATGTCTTCCAGAGTCCCGGGAATTTGAGTCAAGGTCATTAGTATTACGTCTTCATTCTTTCGTTTTATAGGTATAATTGTAGGTTGCCCTTTTTCCGTAAGTACTTTCGTGTACTTCGAATAGCAGCACAAGTTACTACTCACCACTTCTTCAATGCGTAGCATTCTAATCCTACACGTTTCTTTTATTTATCCTATTTAGATATTATTGTAGCTGATCGAACTGCTGTTGCTCAACGATAGTACTTCTTTTAGGGTTCATTAAAGAGTCTTGTGAAAGTAGAATAAAATTCGGACTGTCGCTGGCCGGACGCTATACTATTCGTGTGTTTTTCGTCCGTAATATTTTTGAACAGTGAACACATCTATTTCACAGAATAGCTGAAGAAAGATGAGCGTGCTTCTGTTTATCCCAAATATACTTGGTACGAAACGTTCACCTATGTAACTTTTTATGTGGTACTTGGAATACTATAAGAAGTAATATTCTGTCAGATCTTCATTGCCTGCATTTTCTTTTTATATTACTTTTTATATGTGTACCATTGCATTTCGTGGGTGGTAGTTACTGCTTTTATATGTGGTCTAGATGTTTGTTATAGAACTAATACGAATTTTCATGTAGTTCCCAACGTCCGATCTGCTAAATGCTAGTAGTTTTCTCATTCTTCACTTAGTTCCTATTATAATATAAGCTGCTTACCTTCACACTATAGATTTTTCGGATAAATATCTTTGCCGGCATTTTAGAGTCCGAGTTGTTCACTAGCAGATTATTCTTTCGCCCTTCTTATTTCATCGATACGTGGATTGGGTCTTCACGAGCGGATTGAAATGTGCTAATCTTTCGGTGCATCAATACACGCGAAACATACAAGCTAATGATCCATAGTTTTGAATTTTTGGCGCGTTTCACTTTGTAATAATCATCAGGAGTCTTTCTTTTTTTGTTGTTTTATTACCACAGCATAGGAACCTAAAAAATACGTTAGATAGGAAGCACTGTGTTTATAGTCTTTTAAGTGTTTTTGGAAACGTTTCACCAGAGTTCTCAAACGTCACCCTAACCTATATCAAATTACAGTTTTTTTTTCAAAAATAGCCACAAAAAAGCAGCCAGGTTCCATGTAACCTGCTTGTCTCAACACTGAACTACAGGTAGGTAGATTGATAGTGTTACAGGAACTGTCATCGCCATCTCATATTTTCACTCTAGAGATCTTGGTGGCTAACATTTGTGTTATACTTGATTGCAACATATATCCAAAAGAAATATAATAAAACATAGCTTCAGTTATTTTTCGTAATAAGTAGTCCTTGAACATCTACTCTGATTGCATGCTTTTAGGCATTTACTATTGTTATTATGGGTCTTATCTCTAGTGTAGTTTAGACAAAGAAATCTTTTGGAAATTCCCGAAAACTAATGATTCGAATAGTCTTATGGCGAGCGAACGGTTCAGTGATAAAATCTCTTAAAATATTGCATTCAAGGGGCCGTGTCATAGTAAATATATGTATTTTTTGCAATAATCTATACCTTTTTGTTATTAGAATCGCAAACTTATTTTGGAAACAGATATATATATAAGGTAAACAGGCAGATTTAACAAGTGCTTTGAATGTTTTCCAGAGCTTTTAGCAAGAAGACTACTTATAGAATCCAAATGGTCGTGACATGAGAGGACGTAGTGCGGCTGGTACTATGTTAAGCCCGCATTGGTTATTCTAGCCTTTGAACAGACCAATCTATTCATTCTTACTAAGCCGCATTTCTACCCTGTCACCTATTCGCTCATTAACTCTGACTGTTTTTTATATGATTGCATATGTGTCAATTACTTACACTATTCATTACGAACTTACTTAATTACGCTTGTTACCCCTTGTGGAGGAGCATAGGCTGCACACAAGCATTCTCCATCAAACACTGTGCTGAGAAACTTATTTTTGCTTGACTGTAAGTATTGATTCACGTTTTGTTGAATCGAGTTGGCTCACACGCCTTCTCCGATTCGCTTCGCTCTCTCCTCTCCGCCTTCGCTTTGTTTTTTCTGATCGTCTGTCTGGATCGACGAGCGTATAAAGTACACGTATTCAAAATCTATTTTCGTATTTCAATTATTTATTTCGGTCATTTACTAACGCAATGTAAGTCAATAAAAATATACGAGGGTGGCCGGGATGTATTGTAGGGGCTGGTCCTATGTTACGGCCACATAGCTTATTCTAGAGTCAGTCAGTCAGTCAGTAACAACGTATAACTTCGTACGTACGTACATCAGTTCAAGTTACCATACCACATTAGCACAAAGATGCAGTTGTCAATTCAAATCCCGTAGTGGTAGAGGTAGCTAGATTATAAGCAGTAATTGGGAAGATTAGGGTTTGGAGATGTTATTTAAAGAGTATAATCCAGTGAAATAAATTTGGAAAGAGGAAAAAAGGGACATGAAGAATTCAGAAGATTAGAATTTGGGAGAACACAGAGAGTGGATGCACCCGCTCCATTGCAAACGATTTTGAGCCGTGTCATTCAGGGTCTCTAACCATCGGTTGCTGTCATCTCGTGGTCCCCAACCAGGTAGTCTACACCTACCAACATGGCTCAGTCCACTTGTCAGTGACTTCATGGATTTGTGCCATGTTCTGGTCTGGCCACCCCTAGCTTTCTTCCAACCTACTCCTATACCATTGAACATCGTTCGTCGAGGCAGTCGGTCGTTGGGCATACGTAACACGTGTCCCAGCCATCTCAACTGATGAAGTTTCTAGAGTTCGAACAAACCAATTTATTCATTCATGTTGAATCACAGTTTGACCTTGTTAGTTATTTGCTTGTCAACCTTGACTTTTTATATAAGCTTGTGTGCATTTCTTATCATACTCATCACATATCTGCAATTTATTTTTGAACTATAAATATTGAGTCACGTGTGATAAAAACAAGTTGGGTCACTCGCCTTTTCCATTGCACGTCATTTTGTTTTGTTTCGCTTTCCGATGAACGATTGTACGAAATATACGTTTCCAAAAATTTATTCTCGTATTTGACTTATTTGATTCTGCTATTCATCAACGTGATTTAAGTCGATAATTATATTCGAGGATTGAAGATATGTATAAGTGGATATTAAGCAGTGAACGTTCTATCTGGAGTCATGTCGGGCCAAGAAAATATATTTTGATTACAGTCGCCCATATGATGGAACTGGAGACAAATACAATGCCACAAAATGATGGCCGAGACTGTGGGTCAGGCAAAACCGAACTTCGTTATAATAAGGATATGAGATCAAAACATGACAGTTATGTTCGATGCCTCACTATCACTTTATTGGTTGATAGATAAAAGGGCATCCATTTTATTAGATCATAATCTGATCATATCCACCTTCCATAAGTCACCTTCGAATAATCGAGATCGACATACGTTCTACTATTATAGTGGTTGAATGTTGGTTGTTTTGTATTCCGGTATCTGTAGGCTTTCGTCAACGACTCTGTGTTGTGGGCAAATGGTCATATATTATTGCATACTATAAACCGACGATTGATTTTCGCTTAATAATTAAAGAATCCCTAAGTACTTGCTAATTTCAAGGAGTGAAACCCTAATCTCCAACAATATGCTACCTGTTGTATTTACTGTAGAACGTAGTCCGAACGTGTCGTCCCGCATTAGGATAATGGGAAGAAATTAACATGATGTGGAACTTTTAGGAAAGTAATCTCAAATGCAATTAAGATGTGAACATAGGAAATATAGTTCTCAGTCAACAAGTGAAATCATATGGTACAAAGTGTAGAATAATAATAAATTCAATATCTAGGTTTGACAAAGATGAAACGTGGATAGAATCGTAGCAACAACTAGGAGTACTTATCCAGATATCTTCCACAGGTTATTTGTTCGTAATAAGGAAGGACTAAAACTTGTTGATGTACAGGTTAAACTGGAGATTTTATTCTGAATCCCAACAATCACTGTCTTGAATTACTTCGACTAGCCATTAAGAAAGATAAACTCATGCCGTATTACTTGATTATTTACTCAGTTCAGTTAGTCAATCGCAATCACCGTATATATATATATATATATATATATATATATATATATATATATTGCTTCAATAATTCTTCGTTGTGTCTTAAGTAATTTGAAGTTTGTAGAAATATTCAACATTTCACAATTCTACAGTTTACTTTTGTTCACTAATTCTTTATGAGGGAAAAATATCAAATGAACGACTTAGCTGTCGTGGGCTTTTACCATTGTTTAAAGGTATATTTGGTACTGTTGTAGAAATCGTTTAAATTATTGCATGACGAGATGACATTCAGTGTGTTAAACGAATATTTGACTGGGAGTGGAAAAGTTTGAGTTGTATTTTTTGCTTGTAAATAAAAAAGAAATATAGAAAAAGTAGGACATATCTTATGGTGTTAATTTGATCTGATTTTTGAAGGTTACATACGAATCGTACTTCTGTTTCAAGCATGTTATTTTATGAAAACTAATTGTGAGCTAACTCTTCTGACGTACATCATTTCGTGTCTATTGGATGCGGTAGATGGTTGTGCTGCACGCGCGCTAAACCAAAGTAAGACTATTTCAGTAACGTCTTTCAATGATTTCATTCAGGTACGAAATTTGGTGCTATGTTGGACATGATTGTTGACCGATGCTCGACAATGTGTTTATTGGCTTGTCTTACTTATTTTTATCCATCATACATGCTTTTTTTTCAATTCAGTATGATTGTGGACATAGCTAGCCATTGGTTACATTTACACAGGTGAGAATTCATTTCGTTATTACTGGTTTAGTTCTGTTTTATCGGGAAAATCAAGTCATAAATTTATAGATCTTAAAGCAAATCGATTTCTCAAATTGTACTATACAAATAGGGTAGGTCATGTCGTTTCCAAAAATTATTCTTCATTATATATAGGTCATTCTTTTCTTGATGTGTGCAGGAAATGAGCTTTTCTATACAACGCTCTATATATACCATTTCTATACTGGACCAAAAAGTAAGTCTACACATTTCATTTTTCGTGTTATACCGTAAGATCATACAGCTATAGACAGTCAATGGTTTGTCTATTCGCCAGATAAAGCTTGAATTCTAGCTCATCATTTATGTACCAATTTTGCTGATTTTAAGTCTTTAAGCGTTCTCTGGAACGAAATCACAACCCATTTAAAACCAGTCATAAAGAGTACAGGCTGGTTCTTCAATTTGGTCAACGGAAATATCCATGGCTATTATGATTACCGCTTGAAAAATGGGTTTGTGAAAAGCTAGAAATGGAAATTGTTGTATTTAAGCTCAGTCCAGTTGTCGTTGACAACCATTTGTTTGCTGTACATCAATCTGTAAAACAAATCATTTAATTATATTAACGCTGCATATAACTGACTGACTGGCAGTTAACGTTCTCCCAGGTAAATTAATAACAATATGACAAAACACATATAGCTCTATCTGATATTCACCTTAGGTAATAACGGTCGTGCCTTACAATAATCCTGCAGATTTTTGACTTTAATATTCCTTTTTAACGTTGATATCGCAATGACGCCATAGTGTTTTTGGGTGTGATTACCAGTGATGTAAATCTACTATATGGAAATGTTCTCTAGATTTCAAATGTTTAGATAATACTATTTTGATGTACAGTAGCACACATTAGGCAATAGACATTCAACTAGTAAGCGATAACTGTTCTTCCATTTTTTGTTTTACATTCTAAGGGTAAGGCAATTCTGAAACCTTAATAGATCCGTGTCCTTTGCTCAGGCCAGGGTCAAGAATAGTAAAGTTTGTAAATTTAAGCTGTTATATGAATGCTATTGTCTCAATGAAGACAAATGTAGTACTTTAATCTACATGACTTATTATGTCTTTATGTCATAATACTTGGTTTGTCTTCATTTTTTCTATAATTAAAAAATCTGATGATACACAACTTAGGGTTAAGACTGGACTTTGAAATTGTACAGTAATAGATATGAACTTTCATACAATACAAAGTGTAGAAACATTTATTTTATAACTGATATGACAAATTGAAGAGTTGAATTTATACGCAAGGTTTTACGTTGTTTATATTTGTGGAATGAGTTGTAATGTCTTTTTCATTCATTTTGACTGTAATGAACTTTTTTTTTCAAGTGAAGTATGGTAATTAATACTATAAAAGTCATATGACATAATATAAAAACCTTCCACCTCATTTGTGTCTATTTTATTTTCCTTTCTTTGACCAGTATTTGCTTCGGGATTATGGGGCATAGTGATTTGTTTAACAGCACCAATAGCATTTCTGAAAATGTTGATTAGCCTCATTCAGCTTCATGCAGCTTGTATGAACATGGTTTCACTGGATGAACTAGAAAGATCTCAGAATAAAGCAGATTAGTTACGTCTGCTGTTGTTAATTCGAAAGAACGAGGTATATATGTATGACTAAATAAATACTATTCCAGTTAATATATGTCTATAACATTCCGTGTTTGAAGTAACCTGAGTAATTTTTAAGTACATTATTTTGTGTTGTAAGTCCCCTTGTAATGTTTTTATGAATACTAAAAAGATAACAAATTTGTAAAACTGGTTCGATGTTAAACTACTTTGCATTCTCAAACTCATTCATACTTTCAATCAATATAACAGAACTGCTTATTTTCCCCTCGTATATTTGCTCTTACTGTTTGCTTGTTATTTGCGTTGTTTTTATTTTTGCATTTCCTATTTATCTATCATCATGTTAATTCTATTTTCTCTAAACTTTTGAACACATTAATTTTACTATTATTTGTAATGTATTACACATGTCATACCTAATTTCAGTTATGAATTTTATTCTTCACATAATGTTGTGTAGTTTACAAGTTTTCTATCTCAACAAGTGCTTTACGTTGTATTTAATTTTATTGTCCGTGATATATTACAGCCTAATATTCTATGTTTTTTACCATGGTGTTCAAGACGTTAGTATTAAAACCAATCTAACTGGACTGGACAAAATGGCATACTCCACTGGTAGGTTTCGTGCTGAACAGTCAAAGCGTACAGATTACATTTGTTGATAGTAATATAAGATGATCAAAGTAATTCAGCGTGAACTCTGACCCCTGACTAAAAATAATCCATTTATTCTAGTATGGGACAAAACAGCCGTCCAGTGCTTCCAGGGTTCCAATGGTGGTCTAACATTGATCCATTCATGAACTCAATCAAAACTCAACAATCTCCACAATCCTGTACTGATAATCCATTTATCGTATATTTTCTCTTATTCGGGTATCTTTACTCGTGTCTAATTGACACATAACCTTGATTTATTTTGGGAATTTTGCAAATTATGTTCAGTGGTATAAGTATGGCTCATAGTCAATTTGAGTTATTCGTTGTCATCCTTTATTTGAAGGTTGACGTTGATTACAAAAACTTGTCACTGTGTAATGTTATTTTTTTCTCTCACGATAATGTATTTCGATTGGATAAAAGTTTATATAAACTGGTTAGAATAGTATGCCAATCAAGAAAAATTATCGTCTTAGTTCAGCTATCTGGTTTTTTATAAATTGGATACAGTGGTACATTACTTTTAACAGTTCACGTTTAGTAAAGCCATCAAGAAAGCAGTTGTAAAATGATCACCATAAATAGTAAAACAAGCCTTGTACCAATTACGGCTTGTTATTCTTTTACATTTTAGCTCTCTTCTTCTGAATACCTATAAAATTTCTAATTTATATCACTAGATTTTTTGTATCTACACTTCGTCTCCGTTCATCACTTGTCTGTCACTAACTCGAGATTCTCTTATTACACAAATTTACATATATACTTGCATAGACGCATACCAGTAGGTCTTTTAAAGAAAATAACTGCTATTGAATACATATCAAAATCAAAGTAAAGATACTATCAATAAATTAAAGATATTATATGTAAATATATTTAATCCAGTACATTTTGTTCTAATAATTTTAAGTCATCCTAAGCTTCTTGTACAACTGCTAATAAAGTGTCATGTTAAGGATTTAAAGAACACTAGGTTAATAAACTAAATTTTTAAATAAAAAATTCCGTCAGAAAATTGATTATCACTACTATTTCTGTTATACACCACATCAGAATTAAATATATTCACAAAGAAAAAGTGGTTTATTTCTAACCCTGGACAGTCGATCCATAGTGAGGTTAAATATTCAGTCTAATCAGTAATAATATGTAAAACAAATTGTAACCGATAACTAAACATATGTAGTGCATTGACAAATAATAACTATGGAGTAAAGAACTAACAATAGTTTATTCATAATGTTATGTTTGTAATTCTAAATCAATTGAAAATTTTGATTCTCCCGCTATTGTTAAGCTATGGACCATCGATAGTTCCATCAAAAATTATTGACTCAGAATCTATACTATTCACCTCTTATCAAGTGTTCGACAATCTATAGATTAATATTTTAGCATGTAATCATATCAAGCTAGGACTTCAATGTAATTGAATATAAATGAGTCGAAATACTAAGAAATGGTCACAAATATATTATTTTAGTCGGTCATTGATCGACGCTTACTAAGTAGGTAATAAACTTATACTAATCAGGTCATTATGAAGTAATAAGCAGTAGATCCGTCTCCAAAAACGCCTGCGCATTCCAAAATAAATAGAACATATTGCATTCTGTCGTTTTTATTTGTGATCCGTTTGCAATGGAATACCAGGAAAACTCGCTACATTTTACCGAATTTTCATAATATGTAAAGTTTACATTACATTAGGATAGATATATTGCTGATGAAACAGAAAATTTCTTCGTTACCTTCAAGTAAGCTGGTCATTTTGGTAACAATCTGCTTGTACGACTGACAAATAAGTAGACTATGACATTTGATCTCGCAATCTTTATGGGATAGCTGCTTGGTGGATACAAAAAGAGAATTCTAGCGATTAGTTTTACAAGAATGGAAGCTACACGGCTTCGATCTGGGTAACTCGGTTGTTTCGCTAGACTTCACATTAGAATGTGACCAAGTTACAAGTTTCAGTCAGCCAGTAATGATCAACTTAGAGCCTGGCACAGATGCACATTGGACTAAGTTTTCATGCCATATTAGTACGACGCAATAAAACCAATAGCAAAGGAATCAACATACTGTAGCAGCAATGATACTGGGAATAAGTGAACAGTTGAAATGTGGTTCAAAAAGACAAAATGAAAAGGTATGTATGAAGGGATCCTGAAATTAAAGATTTAAAGGAAGTTGAAGAGTGCATTGAGCCACGTCATCTACTGTGTTCGGCTGCTGACTGCAAGTACCCCAGCCAGTTTACCTGCGTCTACTTGTCTGTCTCAGACCAACAGACAATGACTTTGTCGTCTGTTGTATAAGATCACCGAGTCATTGTAAAGTTTAGCCTCTTTATAAGGATGATTATCAAGATTTGAATGGATAATTTCAAATAAATTGAGTAGATTGAAAATAGTGAGATGTGCTTGTGTGTATGTAGTCATGGATGGTACGTAAAGTTCTGAATATTAAGAAAAGTCAAAATCACGTTTACTGTGACTAAATTGTTGTAGTTCACTTGACCACGTTCTCGTTTGTCCTAAAGTTATAATTATGGACACAATCATATACTATTTTTTTTACTTTTAGCCCTATTTGAAATCTGATCACAGAACTAAATTGTTTATCTTAAACATAATCATTTATTTAATAGCTAATGTGAGCAGAAACCAAACAAATACCACTAAACTTGGCGATTATTTTGTTGTCAGTAATCCGATTATATTTGCGAATACATAATCTGAGCACAAGAACACAGTAGCTATTTTACGCAAACTGTAATGAAAATGAGAATAGGTCCCACTTATGAAAAACGATTCGGCAACAAATACAGTCATTCCGCTTAGTACCTTATATCTCACTGAAGAGCAGATCTATCGAAACTGAACAACCGTTACCGGGAGTGTGGCTACGTATTAAGGTCTGTCGCCCCTTGTGGAGCATAGGCTGACGACTAGGATCCCCCAACCTGGCCCGACGGTAGCTGCTACCTTGACGTGGTGGTCGGGCTTACCTATCGTGACGACCCAACGGAGATATATTGGCTGAAACATATGTCCCTGTAGGTTCGACCATGACAGGCAGGTCGATTGGAGAACGGTAAGACTAAAAGCAGTAACTCAAGGTCTGAGGGCGAAGTTGTTCTGCTGACTGTAGAGGGGTGTGACAGCAGTGAGCTGTTTCCCTCCGACAACCGGCGAAGCAACGATGCTGCCTTCTCACAAGGATAGAAAAGGTCGACCATAAAAATGTCACACCTCACCGATTTCCGTCTCTGGCGGTAAGGCCCTTTGGAGCTAACACGTTGAAAACTTCTTACAAAAAAGCCATGCGTGACCAGCCTCAAGCAGTTGTCCCTTGGGCTTTGCGGTCACGCTCCCAGGTGGTCGAGACCGACACTAATCTAACTTCCTTTTCAGGTTTCTTAAGAAATACCTTTCCACGGTGTGGGCAGCTGGAAGTGATATCAGCCCTCATACCCGTAACAGCACACGAAACCAAACTGGTCACATTCAAATCCTGACTGACTGTTTCCCGGGCTCTGCTTCCCCGTTGTTCTCCTATTCTACACATTCTCGATATGTCTGTCTCTCATTCACAACGCATTGTGTCTGTTATATCCCGATGAGAATAATGAAAAAGTGGCTTACACTAAGTCACGAAATGTCAGAAAATCTAATTTTTCTATTCACTGGGTTATCACAAATATATATATATATATATATATATATATATATATATATATATATATATATATATATATATATTCGTGTTTCACTTATTATAAGCTTCATTTTGACCTATGAACTATTATTATGCGATTTACCATTCTTGAGTTATACCTAGTCTATCCCACGTTCACAGCCACTTTTGGCTAAATCTTGTACAATGTTATTTTCTATTTCATGGTACGATGTGGTCTGTTTGGTTGGTATATAAACCCAGTATGTTTGAGATATACGATTCATATCGCGGAGGCTGAGATTGGTGTTTTGAACTTAGAAGGCAGGGCTAGGCAGAAAGCAGGACCTGTAAAGACTCTAGACTGCTCGTACGGGTTTTATGCGTCATTGGTCTGGTCGATAATTCACTGTTCTCTAATTGGCGGTATCATTACGTTATACATTAATAGGACACAGTGAACCAGTTATAACAGTGTTCTTTGATCTGTTTCATTTCTTCTGCCTTTAAAATTCCAAGCTAGGACTTTGCTTGTGGTATTTTTCTCTGTTTTCCGTAAAGTTCGACCTATCCACCTACAACTCCTTGTTTGCAGCTTGTTTGTTATCTCCCACTATTGGCCACTATTTAATGGATCTGGAGTGTCCTTCATAAACGGCTGTTTATAAGTACCTGTACCTTCTTGATGATGGCTTTAGTAGTTCTCCCAGATTCAACTCTGGACAACTGTTGGAGTGATCCAGAAAATTGCTTGCGAAAGACATGCGAGCATCAGCAAACACTAAGAAGCGTTTCATCCAATCAGCGTCCATTTGGAGTTTTTGCCAAAAATATCAAGGAAGCGAAACGTCACATGCAGAGGCTCTGACTGGTTGGCTGCTACACTGCAACTACCTTTAGTAGCATTTTCAGAATCTTCTAGCGACCCAAGGACATTTAAAATATTATAAAAACCCTGTATTTTTTGTATTAAAATGAACCTTGGGGTAAACTACTTCTCGTATACTTCGAGTCTTCTCTATTGTGTTCAGGTCGCTGTATAGTTCTAGTTTGGAGGTTACCGAATAGCTTAGGAGACGAATATAGCGTTCAATCCGGCAAGACTTATCAACAACAGAGTTGTTTTGACATTTTTATCGGAAATTCTGATCTTAGGAGACAGTTCCAAAGATTCATTAATTGTAGGGATTCCAC